CCTTGTAACTTTCCGTTTTTGTTTTTTTTTCTATCCTCACCGGAGGACATTTTTGCATTTATCTTCAGATAGAGTGGGAAGGAGAGAGGGAGGAGGAGAGGGAGAGAAACATCGATGTGAGAGAGACACATCGAGTGGCTGCCACCCACACGACCCCAACCGGGGACGGACAAACTGCAACCAAGGTTCGCGCCCTTGTAGGAACCAAACCCAGGGCTCTTTGGTTCGTGAGCCAACACTCTAACCGCTGAGCCAAACCAGCCAGATTTTTTTTTAATCCCCACCCGAAGATATTTTTTTATCTTCAGATAGAGTGGGAGGGAGAGAGAGAAACACCTATGTGAGAGGGACACATCAACTGATTGCCTCCCACATGACCCCAACCAGGGCTGGGGACAAACCACAACCAAGGTACGTGCCCCTGACCGGAATCCAACCTGAGACTCTTTGGTCCGAGGGCCGACACTCTATCGCTGAGCCATACCAGCCAGAGCAGTAATTTCCCCTTTCATGGTGATGTCAAGTTCTTGTAAAGCATTGATGAGGACAAAGGGAAAGAAACACTGTTCAGCCCGGCCGGTGTGGCTCAGTGGCTGAGCGTTGACCCATGCACCGAGAGGCCACTGGTTCAATTCCCGGTCGGGGCACATGCCCAGGTGGTGGGCCAAATCCCCAGTGAGGAGCATGCAGGAGGCAGCCAATTGATGTCTCTTTCATCAATGTTTCTATCTCTTTCTCTCCCTTCCTCTCTCTAAAATCAATAAAGAAAAAAAAAAATTTTTTAAAGAAACGCCATTCATAGTCCTCAGAAAAGCCCCATGCTTGCTCCTGTCTCTCTCTCTTTTTTTTCTTTCTAAATCCCATTTCAGTTTTCTACAATTTTTTTACAGTAGAAACAGGCTTTTTATAATTTTTTTTTTAACCTCAGTGGAAAGTCTTTCGGGGACTCTGACCTGATTGCTTAGCTGCTGAAGCCGTGAACTCATCATTTTGGTAGATTTGTCCTTTTCTTTCCTTTGAATAGTTTTAAATAAGCGATGGGCCAGAATTGCTAACATACGTGGTTGACCAGTTTAGTTCACGTTGTTTAATCGGTTACAAGCCCCTCACTAGTCCTTCAAGAAGTGCTGAGATAAGCTCTGGACCATTTGATGATCCTCAAACTGTCTGCAGACAATCCTGAAAGTTATTTGAAGTTTTTTCAAAACATCCGAAGAAATCAAGTATGTTTTTCATCAATATTGCTGAATTTTCATCCACTCTATTTTCGGGGGGGGAATCTCAGAGCTGGTTTGGTGAAAAAGGTGGGCTTAATTCCCTGCATTTTTCTTGGCCTGTTTCTCTGTTGTTGTTTTTTAAAATGTGATTTTATTGATTTTTTTGAGAGAGAGAGAAAGGGAGAGAGGGAGAGAGAGAAACATCGATCGGCTGCCTCCTGCATGTCCCCCGCTGGGGATGGAGCCCACAACCCGGGCATTATATAAACAATTTATTTAAGCCAATTAAACAGCTCTGTAAACTACTTCTAATATCCTCTGCAGGTAGATATACATACACATACACATTTATAGTCAGACACAACCAAATAGTTTGATTTAATTTATTATTATTATTTTTATTTTTTAAGGGAGGAAGGGGGAAAGGAGGAAAGGGGGGGGAGGGGAAATAAGAAAAAGCGAGGCAGCGGCCCTTCGGCGTCCGCTCGCGGGGAAGGCTGGGGAGGGAGGGCAGAGGAAGAAGAAGGCAAATAGTTCGATTTAAAAAACATTTTTTAAGCCATGAGATAGATACAATAAGATAAAACTTATTAATTTATCACAATTGAAATAAGTTTATTCCTTCAGATGGCTAAGTCTTTAAGATTTTATTTGTCCTTGATATGTTTCTCTGTTTTTAAAAACAATCCTCTATCGGAGTTTTCCAGCAGACCCTACTTGGCCATTCTGCTGCTTTGCTCTCAGAAGCCAATCGTCGTGCCCTGGACAGTGTGGATCAGTTAGTTGGGTATCATCCTGGGCACCAAAAGGTTGCTGGTTCGATCCCTGGTGGGGGGCATATAGGAGGCTGCCCATTGATGTTTTGCTCTCACACTGATGTTTCTCTCTCTTTCCCTCTCCCTTTCCCGCTCTAAAAGTTAATAAAAAAAAAAAATTTAGCCAGGCCAGTGTGGCTCAGTGGATTGAATGTCATCCCAGTTGGATTCCGGGTCAGGGCACATGCCCTGGTTGTGGGCTCGCTCCCCAGTAGGGAGCATGCAGGAGACAGCTGATTGATGATTCTCACATGGATGTTTCTATCTCTTCCTCGCTTTCTAAAAAAAATCAATAAAAACATATTTTTAAAAATAATAAAATAGCCCTGGCCGGTTTGGCTCAGCGGTTAGAGCATCGGACTGCGGTCCAGAGAGGCCCGGGTTCGGTTCCCGCTAAGGGCACATACTTCGGTTGCAGTTTGTCCCCGGCCCTGGTTGGGTCGTGTGGGTGGCAGCCACTCGATGTGTCCCTTTCGCATCGATGTTTCTCTCTCTCTCTCTCCCTCCCACTCTATCTGAACAACAAAAATAAATAAATAAATAAATTAATTAATTAATTAATTAATTAATTAAATAAAATAATAATAAAATAGCCCTGGCCGTTTTGGCTCAGCGGTTAGAGCATCGACCCGAGGTCCAGAGAGATCTGGGTTCGGTTCCTGCTAAGGGCACATACTTCAGTTGTCCCCGGCCCTGGTTGGGGTTGTGCGTGAGGCAGCCACTCGATGTGTCCCTTTCACGTTGATGTTTCTCTCTCTCTCTCTTCCTTCCTCTCCCTCCCACTCTGTCTAAAACAAAAATGGAAACATGTCCTCGGGTGAGGATAAAAATAAATAAATAAATACTACTAATAAAAATCAATAAAATAATCTTTTTAAAAAAGAAAGAAACTGATAGGTGTATTAGTTGGAACAGGTCACAGGATGTGGAGAGAGGGGAGGGCCGTGCAGAAGGGGTGGGGCCCTTGGAGAAAGAGGCACTGGGCAGCCTCAAGCCTCCTTCAGTTCACAGACAGTTTCTAAAAGTTTCTTATTAACTTCCTTAACGAGAAAAAAATTTAGTCTTTTAAATGTTCTTCAATTCCCAAAGAGATGAAAGTTTACCTGTGTTCCTTTTTTTTTCTTTTTTAATCCTTACCGGAGGATATTTTTCTATTTATCTTCAGACAGAGGGAGAGAGAGAGAGAAACATCAATGCGAGAAAGACACATTGAGTGACTGCCACTCACACGACCCCAACCAGGGCCGGGGACAAACTGCAACCGAGATACATGCCCTTAGCGGGAACCGAACCTGGAACTCTCTGGTCCACGGGCTGACGCTCTAACCGCTGAGCCAAACCGGCCAGGACCACGCTTCTATTTTCTAATCAAAGTAAGCACCTTATTAATTCAGTTCAATATTAGAGCCTGCTTTTTCCAATTTAGTACACAAAAATTAATTGAGAGGTATCAAAAGAGCCCCATTCTGCTCATCTTAAGCTGATATCACTTTTAGTGAATTCTCCCCATTTCTGTAAATGCTCGCAGGTCAAGGCTCCGTACAAATGGCACGTAAAGCTTGCTGGTGCACTGAAGGGACAGGCTGCCTATCAGGCACTTGTCAACCTTGGAGGCACAATTTCCCATGTTAATTTTCATTTTTCTTTTGAGCCAATTAAAAACAACTGAAATAGGTTAGAGTGTTGTCTTGTACACCAAAAGGTGGCAGGTTCGTTCCCAGTCAGGGCACGTGCAGGAGGCGACCGATCAATGTTTCTCTCTCACATCCACCTTTCTCTCTCTCTCTCTCTTCCCCATCCCATTCCTCTCTCTAAATTTAAAAAAAACAACTCTTTAAATAAATAATAAATAGAAAGAACAAGTCAAATGCGGCCAGGAACTGCTACCTAAAGCAGGTAGTTTAGGGATTTCAAGAGAAGACTCACCAAGATCACCTAACGAGAATCAAAGAGCCCAAAGAGCACACTGGTCCCTCACACCTGGTCCGGGTGTGCGCGTGCTCACGGGCGAGCTTACGCAGAATCCTGCCAGCTGCACCAACTGCAAGCTGATGTCAGAGTGTCTGAACCTGCAGAGAATCTTCATGAAGATGTATCTGAGCCAAACAAAGGATATACGTGGGGGCACGATCTGAACAGACAGAGGTGCTTCCAGGAATGCCAGTTTGCAGTTTCTTTCATACGTTTGGAATTGAGGAGGAATTGTAGGAGGATTCCATGGAGCAGAGAGAAAGCAAGACAGGACTGGATTACAGGGCAGGTAACAAAATTATGGGCTCCCGTGAGGATGGTTTTCCTTCTGGGGCTCTGAAAAGAGGCACTTCAGAGACGTGTTCACCCAGATGCACAGAAACGATGGATAGGACTTGCTTGAGGCAAATACAAACCTTTGACTTCAGAAGTTATTCGCTCACCGTTCTCTGCCGGGTTAAGAACGTACGATAAGATCACCCTGTGAGGTTACCACCTGCCTTGTCCGCACACTCCACCTCCCTCGGCACCCAGAAGCCAACCTGGCCCCCATCTGGCTCAAGGAGAACACAGAACAAAATGAGGTAAATAAACGAGTGATGGGTCCCGATGACTGTGGCAGCAGAAAGTTGGGATGACCCCACAGGACCCTTCAAATGCTCCTCACCAAGAGGGCATATACCCCCTGACTCCACTCTACCCTGTGCGACAGCTGGGGCCTGTCCAGTTCCAGATGGCCCTGCCTTGTCCAGGAAGTGTGCCTTAGACTTTGCCACACCCTACAGCCTCCCTTTTGTAAGCAGGGCAGGGGTGGGGTCAGAGTGGGTCCCAGGGGCACAGGGAGGGACACAGAGCCTTTTACAGCCGGGGATAAAGTCCTCCCCTGGTCTGAGTCCCAACAGCTTCTCCAGAAGCTGGTACTTGGGTGCCTCAGCCTTGCCCCAGTGCCAGCCTCACCAGAGTCCCAGCTCCGCCACCTTCCCGCCATCCCGCAGGCATGCAGGGAGCCTGGGCGCTGCTGCTGCTGGGCCTGAGGCTACAGCTGTCCCTCGGTGTCATCCCAGGTAATGGGGCGCCTCCCGGCAGACCCCACACACAGGGCACTCCCCCAAGGCTAACCGGCCTTCCTCTCCCCCAGCCGAGGAGGAAGACCCAACCTTCTGGAACCGCCAGGCAGCCCAGGCCCTGGACACTGCCAGGAAGCTACAGCCCATCCAGACAGCCGCCAAGAACCTCATTCTCTTCCTGGGTGACGGTGAGTGTGCGGGGCCGTCCACGCCCCAGAGCCCCACGGTCCTGGCCCAGGGCCGCCGATGCACACGGCCAGGCCTGGCGGCTCGGACCTGACAAAGTTCTCCTCCCGCAGGGATGGGGGTGTCCACGGTGACAGCAGCTCGGATCCTCAAGGGGCAGTTACATGACAAGCTGGGACCTGAGACCCCCCTGGCCATGGACAAGTTCCCATACTTGGCTCTGGCCAAGGTAAGTCTGGGGGGCCTCAGGGTGCTCCACGCCACAGGGGTGGGGTAGGCCTAGGGAGCCTGGTAGGAGGCCTTCGGAGGATGGGGCCTGAGTTAGGGGCCCAGGGCTTGGCCACGATCTGGGTGTCTGTCCCAGAGGAGAGCTGAGGGTGTCTCTGTCCCCAGACTTACAATGTGGACAGACAAGTGCCAGACAGCGCAGGTACAGCCACGGCCTACCTGTGTGGGGTGAAGACCAACTACCAGACCATCGGCGTGAGTGCCGCAGCCCGATATAACCAGTGCAGCACCACACGTGGCAACGAGGTCACCTCCGTGATGAGCCGGGCCAAGAAAGCAGGTGGGCTCGGGCTGCCTGGTGGGCAGGGTCAGGCCCAGAGACCACAGTAGCTCACGCTGACCTCCGTCACCCTCAGGGAAGTCAGTAGGGGTGGTGACCACAACCAGGGTGCAGCACGCCTCGCCAGCCGGCACCTACGCACACACGGTGAACCGCAACTGGTACTCGGATGCCAACATGCCTGCCCAGGCGCTGCAGGAGGGCTGCCAGGACATCGCCACGCAGCTCATCTCCAACGTGGACATTGACGTGCGTCATGAAGGGCAGTGGGGACCCGGGCAGAGGGCGTGGGCCCCACGCTGGCCACAGTCCCAGGCAACCCACAACCTGAGGCCTGGGGCCTGGCAGAGTCTCTGGGGACTTGGGATGGTGGTGCAGAAGGTAGCGGCAAGCCAGGCCATTGCCACAGACCTGGTGGGGGGACCTGGGATTGTTTGACCAGGAGGCAAAGGGCCAGCCAGGCCCCAAGCTCACCTGCCCTAATCCTCTGGCTCCAGGTGATCCTGGGGGGAGGTCGCAAGTACATGTTTCCCGATGGGACCCAGGACCCTGAGTACCCTGGTGATGCCTCTCAGAACGGAGTCCGGAAGGACAGGCGGAACCTGGTTCAGGAGTGGCAGGCCAAGCATGAGGTGACGGGCCTGTGGGAGCAGGGGGCAGAGCAGGGACGAGGGCAGAGCAGGGCCAAGGGCTGTGGGCTGAGGCTGCTTCTGTCCCTCCCAGGGTGCCCGGTATGTGTGGAACCGAACGGAGCTCATTCAGGCATCCCAGGACCCGTCTGTAACACGCCTCATGGGTAATGACCGCCCCCTCCCTGCCCTGTCCTCCCGGATCCCCGGACACCAAGCCTGTGTGCACAGGTGTGTGCACGGGTGTGTGCACGGACCCCCCTGCACAGCTCCTGGGTCACTGCCACCCCCTTTCCCACAGGCCTGTTTGAGCCAGGGGACATGAAGTATGAGGCCCACCGAGACACCGCACAGGACCCGAGCCTGGCAGAGATGACAGAGGCGGCCGTGCGCCTGCTGAGCAGGAACCCCCGAGGCTTCTACCTCTTCGTGGAAGGTGAGGGAGCGGCAGCCCCTCACTGGGCAGAGGGAGGGCTCTCAGGGCAGCTCCCCACCCCCACCCCCACCTCCGTGGTCTGTCTGCAGGGGGCCGCATTGACCAAGGTCATCATGAGGGCAGAGCCTACCTGGCGCTCACCGAGGCCGTCAGTTTTGACGATGCCATTAACAAGACCTTCCAGCTCACACGAGAGGAGGACACGCTGACCCTGGTCACTGCTGACCACTCTCACGTCTTCACCTTTGGCGGCTACACTCTTCGTGGCAGCTCTATCTTCGGTGGGTCTGGGGAGGGTGGCAGGCGCTGTTCCCTGCTCCTGGCAGATCCTGCTGTGAGCCTGGTGTGTCCTCCGTGGGACGGGCCGTGACAGCCATAAGCTCAGGGCTGTAGGCGGAGGAGGTCCCCGAGCAGGCGGGCCGTGCCTGGGGTAGCGCCCAGGGGACGGTGCCTTCACGGGTGCCCTCCTCCCCGCAGGGCTGGCTCCAAAGGAGGCGTCGGATGGCCAGGCCTACACCTCCATCCTGTATGGCAACGGCCCGGGCTTCGCAGTGAACGGCAGCGGCGTCCGTCCCAACGTCAGCGAGGACCACAGCAGTGAGTGCGGGCGGGGGGCGGGCAGGGGGCCTCCGCGGGGAACTCCCGCGGTGGGGGCGGGGAGTTTGCCCCAGTCCCCTGCACCGCCACCCTGAACCCCCATTGTCCGGCAGATGATCCCAGCTACAGGCAGCAGGCGGCCGTGCCCCTGTCGTCCGAGACCCACGGCGGCGAGGACGTGGCGGTGTTCGCGCGCGGCCCGCAGGCGCACCTGGTGCACGGCGTGCAGGAGCAGCACGTGGTGGCGCACGTCATGGCCTTCGCCGCCTGCCTGGAGCCCTACGCCGCCTGCGGCCTGGCGCCCCCCGCCGGCACCCCGGGCGCCGCGCCCCCCGGGCCGGCCGCAGGCCCCTCGCTGGCCCTGGTGACCGGGGTGCCGCTGCTGCTGCTGCTGGGGACCGCGGTGCCTTAACCGCTCACCTCCCCTGACCCCACTCCTCCTGGTCTCCCACCCGTGGTTCAGCCGCACCCCTGCCCAAAGCCTTCAGACCCAGGACCCACCTCCAGCCTCTGTGTTCTGCCCTTTACCTGTGGGCACACATGAGCCTCAGGGGAGCAGCGGTGCCCGCACCCCACCGCGCGGCCGACCACGGGGCTCCCTGGAGGCTGAGGAGGTGGCTTTCCTGCTGCACCCACGGCCCTCTAGGCGGCTCTGGACTCCCCACCCCCAAACTGGGCGACCTGAGACTTGAGCAGTCTGGAGCTGCCCTGGTAACAGTGGCTTCCTGTCACCCTGTAACTGGCCCTGAGGGCACCTGGTGGCAGAGGAGGCTGCTGGGTCACATGGTGGTGGTGGTGGTTGGGGACTGACAGAATCACTGGGCCAGGCCTGGTACCATTACACAGAGGAATAGACAGAAACACAGAAAAGAGCAGCCCGTCCCAACTCCTCTGCTCTGACACGTCACTTCCAATGCCCATTCAGACTGGCAGAGCCGGAGGTTTGGGCAGCCCCGAACAGCCCTTGCCCCTATCCTGCACCTAGATTGCCTGCCTCCCTGGGCCTCTGTCCTGGGAGGGACACAGGAATCAACTAAACTGTTATACAACCGATGCCAACGCCGATATGTTCTGGAAAGAAATCATTAGCACGTGGGAGCAGAGTGTGTGTGTGAGTCAGGGGAGGGAAAGGTACCTCTGATTAGGAGGTCAGGGAGCAGGGAGAGGCTCCCCGAGGAGCAGACAGGTGTCCAGAGACTGAAAGCAGGAGGATTGAGTAATGCTGAATGAGCAGCCTTGCAAAGATCCTGAGGCAGCAATCCAGTGAGGCTGGGGGCCAGTCACTGGATCAAAGGAGATAAAACCCGACGATGGGGAGCCCCAGGGGGGAGGAGCTCAAACCAATCCACAGCCTGGTGTGTGATCAGAAGGCTTTGAGCACCGGCATAACATGATGCTTGAAAATATCACCCTGCCCTGGCCAGTTTGGCTCAGCAGTTAGAGCGTCGGCCTGCGGTCCAGAGAGACCCGGGTTCAGTTCCCGCTAAGGGCATGTACCTCGGTTGCAGTTTGTCCCTGGCCCTGGTTGGTCGTGCGGGTGGCAGCCACTCGATGTGTCCCTTTCACGTCGATGTTTCTCTCTCTCTCTCGTCATCTCTCTCCCTCCCACTCTGTCTGAACAAAAAATGGAAAAATGTCCTCGGGTGAGGATAAAAAAAAAAAAAAAGAAAAGAAAATATCACCCTGGCTACTGTGTGGACAAGACATTCTGTTTTGTTGGAGGGAGGGGGGCAGAGGTAGGAGATGGGAAGCCGGAGGAGAGGTGCAGATGCCACACCTGTCTGACCTCCACCCCAAGGCTAACATTCGGAGCACCCACTCTAGTATAGCTACACTTACTGAGTATCTAACCCACCTAAAGGGAACTTTTGGAAGAATTCCAGACAGGTGAAATCAACCATACTTTTCAATGTATTTTAACAGAATTACAAATTTATTTGCACATTTACACAAATGCAGAAAACAAATTAGCTCTCACTAGAAATACTAAGATGATGAAGCATGCTTCCTTGTTTACTGAAATCTCGATTGGACACCAACTTGAAGGCCTGGCTCTCGGGGGATTATTCCAATCCTGGATCTTTTTTCTCTCTATAGAACTGTTATGTTCATGGAAAGACTTCCCATTGTAAGTTTATTGGTTTATGAGTTGAAATGAGGTCATGGAGTTATTATTAAAAATAAAAAATGTAGCCCTGGCCGGTTTGGCTCAGCGGTTGGAGCGTCGGCCTGCGGTCCAGTGAGACCTGGGTTCGGTTCTCGCTAAGGGCATGTACCTCGGTTGCAGTTTGTCCCCGGCCCTGGTTGGGTCATGTGGGTGGCAGCCACTCGATGTGTCCCTTCACGTCGATGTTTCTCTCTCTCTCTCTCTCCATTTCTCTCCCTCCCGCTCTATCTGAACAAAAAAATAAATAAATAAATAAAATAAATAAAAAATGTAAATGCATACTTTCTGATTACTTTCTAAGATGAATTATTGATATAATGAGAAATTACTAACTGGATTTTAATGAAAAAAACCTTTATGATATTGGTGAATGGGATTTAAAAATTAACATTATTGTTTAATAATGATGCATTTCTTTCATCTGTATCTTCATATTGGTACAAAATATTGTGTGTGTGTGTGTTTTTACTACAATGGTGTTAAAAAGCAAGGTTTTGAAATAAAGTGGACTTAAAACTCAAATATTCAAAGTTGTAGTTTTAGACAAAAGTATCTTTAGATATAAAATGATACACTGTACTGGAGGGAAAGCTGAAAAATATTCTCTACCAATGGGCAAACGTTACCCTTTGTTAGTGCATATTCTCTGCCAAGTTATTAAGCAAACAGTAGAGGAACCAAAACCATTTGGAGAAATCTGGATGAATTACCACTGGTTCGTTCGAACTGGCTTACTTTCCCCTTGCAGCACATGTATAAATTCATCATGTACAGAAACACTGAAATGGTTAAACTTGCAGAAGACTTTAAAAGACTATTAAATCAGCTTGTCTCTCTCGAAACAATTAAGTCCTTAAAATTGCATCTGTATCTGAAGTGGTGCAGAAAGTACGAAGTTTATTCTTTTCTTTTTAAACTTATCTTTATTGTTGAATGTATTACAGATGTCTCTCCTCCCCCACCTTGACCCTTCCTCCCCACTCGCACCCCCTCCTGCCTTCCCCACACTATTGTCTGTGTGTATTGGTTATGCATGTATGCATAGAAGGTCTTTGGTTTCTCTCTTCCTGCCCCAGTCCTGGATCTTAGTGGCTGTCACAGAGCTTGATGGAAGAAGGGCATCAGTAGCTGGGCTCACTGGATCATCGCGCTCACTGGGAACTCGCCCATCGACTGTGCAAAGGCTGGGGTTAGAATCCAGCTGCCATTGATGTGTCTCTCTCACATTGATGTTTCCCACTCTCTCTTTCCCTCCCTCCCTTCCACTCTATCTAAAAATCAATGCAAAATATGCCCTGGCCAGTTTGGCTCAGCAGTTAGAGTGTCAGCCTGAGGACCAAAGAGTAGTGGGTTCGATTCCAGTCAAGGGCACGTACCTCTGTTGCAGTTCGGTCCCCAGCCCTGGTTGGGGTCATGTGGGAGGCAGCCAGTCAATGTGTCTCTCTCACACTGATGTTTCTCTCTCCCTACCTCCCACTTTATCTGAAGATAAATAGAAAAATATCCTCAGGTGAGAATATTATATATATATATATATATATATATATATATATATATATATATATAAAATCTCCTTGGTGAGGAGTAACAAAAAAGTAAAAATAAATAAAAGGGTGAATTTTATGTATGTGAATTAGATCTAAATTTTATAACACAGTTTCTGCTTCCAAGTTTTTGAATGTGTAGGTAGGAGAGGGTCACTGTCAGACACATCGTTGGCCGCAAAGTCAGGCGTCCATGGAAACATTCCTAACATCTGTTTGATCGGCTTTACCTTGAAGGGGCAGATGCATGGAAAGTGTGTTTTTTAAGGTTTTTATCCGGTGCCTAAGACTGACAGGTCTGGTCACTGGGGACATGCCAGAACATTGGTCCTGGCGCAGGAGGGGAGTCAGGAAGCGAAGCAGGAACACTCGTGAGAGAACTTTCAGTACTTTGCCATAAAGATGACTCGTTCTTGATCGTCTATGAAGTTTTCATGGTCACACGCAACCTTGCTAGTGCGAGCAGGACAGCTCACTGCGCAGGCGCTGCTCGCCCGGAGCCGCGGCGGTGGAAGGGCCCCGGGGCCTCCAACACGAGCTGGCGAAGAGGAAGAGTTCTTGCCAAGTCAGACACCAGGGTCTCTACCTGCGGAGCGCAGGGGAGGCCGAGTGGTGAGGGTCTTTCCTAAATTTGTATTAGGAGAAAATATTTGTGGAACTAGTCTTTGGGCACAGTGACTGTTGGTGTTTTGGTATGAGTGCTTTTGGTTTTTATCACCCTTCCCTCGGGGGCTGGCTGTTGCTGTGTCCTAAGGGCTTGGCGTGGCTGTCAGCCTGCTGGAGACAAGCCCGCTGTCCAGTCCCTCTGGCTCTCAGAGGGAATGCCTGGGGGTAGTAACCTCTGCACCCTCTGGAGGCCATCAGATTGTACAATACTGCCAGAAATACTTACTGTTTGTCCTGGCTATCTAACAAGACACATGAAAGGATTTTGGCCAAATTGAAAGCTGAGATTCAAACCCTGATAGGCATTTTTTAAAATATGTTTTTATTGATTTTTTTAGAGAGAGAGGATGAGGGGGAGAGAGAGAGAGAGAGAGAGAGAGAGAGAGAGAGAGAGAGAGATGAGAGAGGAACATCAATTGGCTGCATCCTGTATGCCCCCTACTGGGGATCAAGCCTGCAATCTGGACATGTGCCCTGACTGGGAAACGAACCAGCAACCTCTTGGTGCACCGGCTGACGCTCAATCTACTGAGCCATACCAGCCGGGCAAAGCACACCTATTTTCGATATTCTCAATTCCTAAGACTGAAGGAAAACAGAGTGGGGGAGAAGTCTAAAAACAAAACAAAGCAAATAGCCATAGAAACACTCGCCTAAAATCTAGCCCATAGCTTTCATAAGTCTCAGGTTTGATTCCCGGTCAAGGGCCCATGCCTGGGTTGCAGGTTCGATTCCGAGCCCTGGTTGGGGTCATGACTTATCGATGTGTCTCTCTCACATCAAGGTTTCTCTCTCTCCTCCTCCCTTTCACTCTCTAGAAGTCAATGGAACCCTGGCTGGTTTGGCTCAGTGGTTAGAGCGTCGGCCCGAGGACAAAAGAGCCATGGGTTCGATTCTGGTCAAGGGCACGTACCTCAGTTGCGGTTCGGTCCCCAGCCCTGGTTGGGGTTGTGCGGGAGGCAACCAGTTAATGTGTCCCTCTCACATTGATGTTTCTCTCTCCCTCCCTCCCACTCTATCTGAAGATAAATGGAA